AGAGGGAGAGGGAGAGGGAGAGGGATAAGGTGAAGGCTAAGGATAGGGATAGGGATAGGGACAGGGATAGGGATAGGGATAGGGATAGGGAGATAGGGATAGGGATAGGGATAGGGATAGGGATAGGGATAGGGATAGGGATAGGGATAGGTATAGGGATAGGGATAGGCATAGGCATAGGCACAGGCACGAGCATTGTATAGGGATAGGAAAGGGATGGGGATAGGGATAGGGATAGGAGCAAAGACTGAGACAAGGGATAGGGATAGGGGAAGGGCTAGGGACAGGGGTAGGGATGGGGATTGGGACAAGGATAGGGTTAGGGATACGGATAGGGACAGCAATAGGGATAGTGACAGGGATGGGGATAGGGATAGCGATGGGGATAGGGATAGGGATAGGGATAGGGATCGGGATAAGAACAGGGATAGGGATAGGCATAGGCATAGGCATAGGCACAGGCATAGAGATAGGCATAGGGATAGGGATAGTGATAGGGATAGGGACAGGGATAAGGATAGGGATAGGGATAAAATAAGGATCGGGGTGGGGATAAGGATAAAGATAAGGATAGGGACAGGGACGGCTATAGGAACCCACGGGAGGCAACAGAATGCCACGGGAGGCAACAGGAAGCAACAGGAGGCCACGGGAAGCAACGGGAGACAACGAAATGCAACGGGAAACAACGTCGACCGCCCGATCCGGATCCGGCAGCGCACTCACCAGCTCTTTGAAAGATGTAGTGTAGAGCCCGTACAGACAACTCGGTTGAGTAGGAAAAGAAAATGTATACACACATACACAGTTATATATGCATACATATAGACAGATGTCTAAATAGATACATGCACACATGCAGATCTATATATGTATATGGACAGCCCTTCCCCCAGCAGCCATCTTTGCCAGCAGTCACTTACGACGGCGGTGCTCTTCTGTTCCTCCTTTCCCTCGTATTTCTCTCTCTCTCTCTCTCTCTTTCCCGTTTTGTTTCCGTATGTTTCCCCCTCTTTCTCTGTGTCTCTCTCTCTCTCTCTGCATCAAGTGTGTATATCTATGCTTCTCTTTGTCTGCCTTTTCGCTCGCTCTCTCTCTCTCATTATCTGTCTCTCTCTCTCTCTCTCCTTCTCTCACTCTCCATATCTTTTTCTCTCTCTCACTCTCTTTCTCTCTCTCTCTCTCTCGCTCTCTTTTTCTTTATCTCCCTCTGTTTGTTTGTTCTCTCTCTCTCTCTCTCTGCGCACCGCACCGCTTGCGCAACGCGGAGGGCGCAGGCCCTCGACGCCGCGCGCCCCTTCGACGCCGCGCGCGGGCACCCCGCGCGCCCAGCTCAGCCCGCAGCCCTCACGGGCCGCGCCGCGGGCCAGCACCCCACACCGGCACCGCAGCGGGCGACGACCCCTCAGGCCGCCGCCTCGGGCCACGGGACCCTCCGCCCCCGCCTGGACTGGGCGGGGGGCCCCGGCGCCTCTCGGGCCCCGGCACGCCTCCAGCCAGTCGCGGCAGCGGCCCCCGAAGGAGCCGCTGCCAGGGCCGAGGTCGGGCCCTCAGCCCAGCCCTCGCCCCGCGCAGGGGCCCAGGCCGCGCAGCAGCTTGGCCGGGCACTGCCGCTTCTGGCGCTGCCCCGCCGCGCGGCCCTCGGCGCGCCCCCTTCAGAGGCCCCTTGGCCCTCTCAGGCCCGCCCGGCGTGGCAGAGACAGCGCAGCGCCTGCAGAGGGCGCGCGGCCCTGCCACCTGCAGGTCGTGGCCCGACTACTTCTACTGGGAATCCTCGTCACGCCGCTGAGCCCCAGCAGCCCGCCTCGGCGCCGAGGCAGCGCGGCCCCTGGCCCTCGGGCTGGGCGGGCCCATGGAGCGGCCGCCAGGGCAGGTGGGCTCTGCCACGCGGGCCTCGCTCTCGCGCCGCCGCCGCCAGAGCGGCCACTGCGGCCAGGGCGGCCGCCGCAGGCAGCGGGTCAGGCGCCCCCGCTGCGCCGCTGGGCGCCGCACCCGCGCTGCCACCCGCGCGATCGTCCTGCAGCATCTCCCGCTCGGCGACGGCTGCGCCCCCCTCGGCAAGCGCCCTCCTGTGCTGCTCGGCGCGCTGCTCTCGAGCGTCTGCCAGCCCTGGCAGCACGCGGCGCCTGCCTCCCCCCTGCTCGCTGCTGTCGGATGAGCTGGCCACGCTCCAAACGGTCGCCCGTGGGACTCTCGCTGGACGAGGCCGTGCTGCTGCTGCGCCAACGCTCATCAGGCGTCGCAGCTCGCGGGGCATCCTCGCCGTCACGCTCAGCACTGCAGTTGGAACCGAGGGCAGACGGCCTGCTCTCCCGCTCCACCTCGGCGCCCGACGGCAGCGCCTTGCCCTGCCCCTCTGCCCCCTGCTGGCCCGCGGCCGCCCCGCCCGCGGCACCGCGCCTGGGCGACCTTCACCTCTCCATATCCAGCGCCGCCAGGAGGGCCAGGCCGCACGGCTCCCCGTCATCTGACCAACTGCCGCGGCCCAGGCCGCCGATGCACGTCCTCGCGATACGCTCCTGCTTCCGCAGGCGCGCGAGCTCCTTGCTGTAGCCCCCCCCCCCTGCAGCGTCTGCAGGCTGGCCCAGCTGGCTACTCGCCACTGGGGTCCCAGGCGCCAGGCAGCCAGGCACTCCTCAGCTGCCCTTCTGCCACGCTCGCGCCCCGCGGCCTCGCCCGCGAGCCCCGCGAAATTGACCGCGCAGGCCGCGCCGCGAAGCACCTGCACCACGTGCGTCTGGCACTCCTCGAACCACGCGCTATCCGCATCCAGGAAGTGCCACCCCGAGAACTGCCCCGGCCGCTGGCGGATCGGCTCAAAGCAGCGGTCGGCCTCCAGGAGGCGAGGGCCCGCGGTGCAGCCCTTCGCCAGCGCGCTACGCCCGAGGAGGGGCGAGGGGAGACTCACGCGCGGACCTTCAGCACCTCGATCATGAACTGGCCTCCAAGCAGAGGCCTGGCTCAGTCGCGCGCCGAACGCCCACGGCCGTCAGCTACTCCATCGCCTGTGCTCCCGTCTGCACGTGCCATGAACTCTGGGCCGCCGAGGCCCCTCCTGGCGGTGGCCTCAGCCCCCTGGGCGCAGCTGCCACTTCCACCTCGTCGAGTGGTATGGGAGCGGTCGGGATCTGCCTCGCTAAGGGTAGGCTGGCTCAGGGTCTCTGGCAGCGGCCGTCCTGCCTCGCCCCTCCCCCGCCGCCCCCTCTGGGATCTCTGGGAGTCCTCGCCCTCCCTCACCCGCCACGGCACTCGCTGCGCTGCGCCATGGCTTCGCTCCTCGACATCCTGCTGCCCCCTGGGGGGCTTGGTCGTCACCCCGCGCCGCCGCCTCCGAAGCCGCCCCTTCAGCAGCGCCCCCCGCCGCCGCCGAACCAGGGGGCGGCCCGCTCGCCGCCGCGAGCAGGTAGTGGGAGGAGGAGGAGGAGGAGGAGGAGGAGGGGAGGAAGTAGGAGGAGGAGGAGGAGGAGGAGGAGGAGAGGGGGATGGAGGAGGAGGAGAGAAGGAGGGGAGGAGGAGGAGGAGGAGGAGGAGGAGGAGGCGCCGCCCGCCCGCCCGCCGCCGCCTGCCCCTGCCCGCGGGCGGCAATGGCCTCGGCAGGGGGGCCCCTGCACCTGGCGGCCCTCGCGGCTCGCAGCTCGCGCGGCTCCGCGGCCCGGAGGCCCTCCGCGGCCGCCGCCGAGCGGGCCACGGCCCGGGCCCCGCGCACGCCGGCCGACCGCGCGGCGCGGGGCCTGCCCAGGCAGCGTCGGCCGACGAGGCCGACGGCGCAGCAGCTCCATTTGGCCTTGGCCGCGTGCGCCTCACGGCCACAGCGCACGCACAGGACCCCACGCGCTCCACACGTCTGGCAGTCATGCCTCGTGCAAGATAGGACTGGCGTCGGGCCGAGCCGAGGCTCTGTATACATATATCTATATATACACACACACATCACTTGTTGATTATGTCTCTCTCTCTCTCTTTCTCTCTCTCTTTCTCTCTCTCTTTCTCTCTCTCCCGCTCTCTCTTTCTCTCTCTCTCTCTCTCTCTCTCTCTCTCTCTCTCTCTCTCTATATATATATATATATGTGTGTATATATATATATATATATCCAATCTCTCTCCCCAGAACACCCAACCCAATCTCTGTGAAAGCACAGGGTTTGCGATGTCAGGGGTACAGAAGCCCTGTGTCTGTCACTGGGATATCGAGGGTTTCTTGGGTGAGAAGTGAGAAGACCATGTGTTTTCATGTGCATGTTTGGGATTTGTTGGATTCTTACCTCCATCGAAAATCCAACCCGACAGCCCTCCCAGGAGCTCCGATCCCCAGGCTCCCAAAAATCCCGATTCGACATGGACCCGCAGATTCCATGATCTGCAGGCACTGCAGGCCGCAAGAGAGGTGCGACCTGAAGGGGCCCTGGGACACACAAATCAATACACACAAATAACAGGATTCCCCATATTTTCGCATATGTTCTGGGTTTTTGTCTTCACCCCCCCTTTCCATATTTTTCCATATTTTCCTGGGAGTCGACGATTAATTGTGTCTGTTTTTTTTCCCTCCTGACGACCGCAAAGCTCGAGGACGTATCCAGCGAAAGCCCAGTTCAAAAGCACACCAGTCGCCGTCCATCAGGCTGATGGGCTGCGTCCGGTGAAGCTGGCCACGAGATCGGAGCCGCCGTGGCCGTGCAGAAGCAGGAGCTGCACGCTCTGTCTCTGCAAAGGGTCCTTGCGAAACCGGCCCGTATCTGAGGGACGACGACGACGCCGATGGCGCCGACGACGACGCCGACGCCGACGACGGCACCGACGACGACGCCGACGCCGACGCCGACGCCGACGCCGACGCCGACGACGACGCCGACGCCGACGCCGACGCCGACGCCGACGACGACGACGACGACGACCACGACCACGACCACGACCACGACGACGGCGGCGGCGACGACTGCCACAACGACCACGACGACGGCGGCGGCGACGGCCGCAATGACGACGACGGCGACCGGCGCCGCGCCTCCGCACGCGGACGCCGAGGCGCGCGGCCGCGGGGGGCCCGCCCGCAGCGCCTCTGCGGCGCCATCGACACGGCGCCGTCGGCAGCGGCGCATGGACGCCGGCGCCGCCGCCGCCGGCCGCCGACGGCCTCGCCGCCGTCCGCGTCGCCCGGGATCACGACGGAACGCTTCTGGCCGTCTTCGGCCTCGGGGGGCCCTCGCGGGGACCCGGGGTCGTCCAGAACACAGCTCGCGATGAAAAGCCGGTCCCGGGGAAGGGGTCCAAGCCTCAGGAGTCCATGTTGTGACAACGTCAACGCTGTCCCTGAGATCCTGGCGTCGCAATCCCGCCAGCCCTCTAATAGGGCGTGAGTGGTTTAGAGCGCTTCCACTTCCAACCCCCTTTCTTCCCTTTCTGGAAAGGGTGTATCCCTCCCCTTCCACCCTCTCCTGGACCTGAACGGGGGGGGGGCGGGTCGTTGTTGGAGCGTCCAAGAAGGCCTCGGCGAGAAGGCAAACATCAGTGATTTCACGTTGATTATGGGACCATGTTGGCCTCCTGGGGAAGCAAGGCTAATTGTGGACCCCCCCTTCTTTGATCGAACTCTTCCAAGATGGCCCCAAGACGGCCCCCAAGGCTCCCAAGAATGCCCCAAGGAGGACCCTAAGAGGAGCCCAAGAGGCCCCCAGAGACGCCTCCAAGATGCTCCAAAAGACCCCCAAGAGACCCCAAAAGGCTCCCCCGAGGCACCCAAGACTCTCCAAGAGGCCCCCAAGACGCCGCAAGAGAACTCCAAGAATCTCCCGAGAGACAGCCAAGAGGCCTCTGGCCTTTTCTGCTCGCCATCTTCTTCCTCCTCCTCCTCCTCCTCCTCCTCCTCCGCCTCCTCCTCCGCCTCCTCCTCCGCCTCCTCCTCCTCCTCCTCCCACTCGTCCTCCTGGTACCTCGGGTCTCGAGCGCGTCCAGAGCATCAGGACAGACCACCGGCACGAACGGCAGGACTCTCAGAGCTGGGGACCACAGTGCACACGATGCACGCGACCATGTCAGCCTGGAAACGATCGGCTCCACGGCTGTGCTGGCACACTGAGGTTTCTCAATGATTATCTGGCGTGATTGGCGACATGACCTGCAAGGCCACGGTGTTCGTCTGGCCAATCCTCTTGGGCACAGGCCTTCGGCAGTCCATCCGAGAGGCTGTGACTGGCGACACGACCTGCAGGGCCACGGTGGTCGTCTGCGTCGAGTCGCGGGGCCTGGGCCCCGCCGAGGAGGCAGCTCCAGCGACGCGAGCCGTGTAGCTTGAGCTACAGCCTCCTCCTCGTCCTCCTCCTCCTCCTCCTCCTCCTCCTCCCTCTCCTCCTCTTTCTCCTCCTCCTCCTCCTCCTCCTCCCCCTCCTCCTTTCTCATTTTCCTCCTCTTTCTCCTCCTCCTCCCTCTCCTCCTCTTCCGCCTCCTCCTCCTCCTCCTCCTCCTCCTCCTCCTCCTCCTCCTACGAGGGCTAGCTACGCTCAGCCTTGGCCGACAGTGAAGGGCTTGGAAGTACTAAGCAACTTGCGCACGGGACTCGGGTCGTACAAAAAGCTAGCGAGGCAGACTGTTGCGAGTCTTACTGCGCGAGCCCACGCACGATGAGATGTCCGGCCAAAGCGGGTCGTCAATCGTGTAGGTCGAGCACATCCAGATGGGCCCTATGACTTCGGGCAGAGGATGGCGAAGCTGCATCAAAGGATCCGTGCGAAGGAGCTTGCGGCCCTGCAGACCGAAGATAAGTCAAACACCGTGCTCGGCAACAGCGGCGTCGTGGACAGTGGCAATGGTTCGGCCCATGGTCCTGGAGCAATGGGATTGCCGCCTCCTGAGCCTGGACAAGGTGAGCATGGCCAAGCAGTCCAGGATTTCGGGCATATGAGAGCAGGCCTACGAGACTGGGCAGCTCTCTGGCTTGATGACCTTACATGCGTTGCGCGAGACAGCTCAAACTGGCAAGAATTGCGAGGCGTTCCTGGGCACGATGCTGAACTGAGGTGGCAATGAGCCGCTACGATTATTTCTGGTCAGTTGGTGTACAGGACGATCAGTGGTGTCGGTGATTCAAGAGTTATGCAGCAGCGCCTGGAGGGAGTCAGAAGGTCGCCGAGATGGTTTCATACACAGGATTGCTGCTGCTCTGCATGAAAACCGCCAGCGACTTGAACGTCGCCATTGGAGCGCAGTTGCTGAGGTTCGTGACATGTTCCGTCGACTCGAAGATGATGCTGCCCCTGATGCAGAGCGCAATGCACCACGGCGTCATCAAGCGGATGATGATAACCAAGCTGCTGAGTGCCCCGCCTGGGTGTATGTGCAGGAGGATCGTGCATCGACTTCGGCTTGGTGTGCTGGTGGCCAGCGCGTGGTCAGAACGCTAAGCCCTGTGAAGCCCCCACGCGAGGCAACACCACAGGCACACAGTCGCCATATATTGCTGGAGGGGCTCCTGAGGAAGCCCCCAGGGAGGGGAACACCTCAGGGGCTCGCATCATCATGACGACGCGCAGGAGGATCTCTGGCAAGAAGACGGTTGGTCAGCAGGTTCGTGATGATATTCGGCAAGGAGGTCAGCATCATAGCACGGCCACTAGGCAAGCCGTGTCGACGGGTACAAAGGGTGGGCTGGCGAATGCTGCCCCTAATGACGCCACTCCCCCGAGTGGCGCGCTTTCTGGGCCTACATTATCCACGCCCTCTGCCAATGTGAAGTGCCACCGACTTCTACGGCGCATTCCAGGTGCTGTAGGAAGTTGTGAAGGTCCGGCTAGAGGAGGTGATGGCCGTGGCGTAGTGGTTAGTCAAGGGGGTGACTGCCATCACAGTGCACATGGTCCAGAGCTGAATATACGTCGAGCTGGAGCTTCGTTCTATGAGCACGGCGCGGAGGACCAAGGAGATTGCGAAGGCAAGGCCAGAGGAGGTGATACCCGTGGCGCAGTGGAGATTCATCCTGGGGAATACCATCAGTGCCCACGGGTCTGAGCCGAATCCACGTCGAGCTGGAGCAGGTGTCGTGCTGGAGGTGCCCTACAGCAAGCCAGAGGTGCAGTCGAGGAGCACGGGCCAGGTCAACGCTTGGAAGGGCCCTCCACGGCAAGGAGTGTCGACGGGTCCAGAGGGTAGGCTGGCGGATGCTGCCCCTAATGACGGCACTCCCCCGAGTGGCGCGCCTCCTGGACCTACGGCATCCACGCCCTCCGCCAAGGAGGGCTCGCACGGTCGTTTCTGCGTGGCCCAAGTGTTCGTTGACCCGTTCCCGATGATGAGTGACGAGTCAGGGGAGCAGCTGGAGTTCGCGAGCGCGAGGCCCCCGCGCTGCGAGAGGGCGCCCGCTGCGACCTGAAGGTCTACGAGTGCGGCGAGTCGCTGGTCCTCAGCGCCCGTGTCTCCCCCGCATCCTCCGAGAGGGGGCGTGCCTGCCGCGCTCGGCGGGGGCGTGGGAGCGCGGCCTCGGCGCCTGGCGCCGCCGTGCTCGGCCCTCGGGGCAGACCCGCGTTCCGCGGCCCGTCCTCTTCCTCCTCCTCCTCCTCCTCCTCCTCCTCCTCCTCCTCCTCCTCCTCCTCCTCCTCCTCCTCCTCCTCCCAATCCTCCTCCCCCT